TTTCCTTCATTATCTTTCATTGGTTTCGTCAGCGTTGATCTCTTCTCAGAAAATAACTTGGTTATTTGATATAACGTTGTCAGGTCTCTCCTACCAGCAGCCTGTTCTGCTCCACTTGCCAATGTGTCATAGAAGTGTCTTTTGTCTTTCCGTGCACTGTTCTTCACCGTCGACCGTTATTTGCATGATAAATTAATGTGGAAAAAGAAGAACTCTTATCCAGTGAGGGTGATGTATCATGAATAAGCAGGAAAGGGTAGATGTCTACTGGAAAGGTGATGGATGTGTAGGTACCATCTAGTTGAACGATATTACGTTAGTAAGTTGTTGCTTGGAAACAACCAAACCATCCAGAGACTATGTTTTTGGGTTTGGTTGTTGTTACAGTTCATTTACAAAAAATATCCTCAACATGCAGCAGGTTGATGCCTTCTTCATGATTCTAACTAGTTTCATTTAGTACATCAAACAAAGCCTTTATCACCGAACTACTTGAGTTGCGATTGGTTTCGTGTATGATTGGATTAAGCACACGTTTCAGTCACCGGTGGTTGCTGATCAGTATGTTCTAGCTACATTATTGATAGAATTGAATGATCTCTGTTGCAATATGGCCTTACGAATTGAGTAACTACTCAGTAGTAATTCACACAAGTTTTCAAATTGAGCATCGGTTGTTAAATCAGATCAGTAGTAATTATCCATTACTGAAGCAATGATTCAGCGACTCAATCTGGTACCTTATGGCAGAGTCTGTTAGCTTAGAGTGTCCGATATGTGGAGCTCTGGCTTATTGGTTTAAGGAGGTGACTTGCAATCACTAGGTTATAGGTTCGAACCCTACTCCGCCAATCGAGATTAGGGCAGATAGATAGTGAAGTGTCATCAGCCCTTATACACAGTAGGTGTAGCGCATTGCCAACTGTACGAATGTACACGAGGTCACTGAGTGCATTTCAATTTCAATTTATTTCGAGTGGCAATAATTATTGCCTATGAATATCAGCAAGCATAAAATCTATGCTTTGTGATGGTGGTTGACGTTCTGGTTTGCATTAAAGTCGATTAGTTTACACCTTAGGTTCGTATTGTTCGTACTCCCGTCCGTAGCGAATTAGTAACGGATGTATTTTGAAATGAACTCATCACAATTGGAGAAACTGATGGAGCAGCAGCTTAAAATGATGGAATTGCTTGTTAGCTTACGGATAACTTCCTTATTCGATTCATCTCCAACCAATGACAACATCGGTAGCAGCATCTCTGAATTCGTCTATGATCCGGATGTAAAGATAACCTTCGATACGTGGTTTCTTGGATCTGAAGACTTGTTCAAAGAAGACTTCGCAAACATAGACGACGCGTAGAAGGTCAGATGGTTGTTCAGACAGTAAAAAGCTCTTTGTTAACGGTCTGTCTTCTGTTCGCGCGTTGATGGTTGACGTTCTGATTTTCGTTGAAGTCGATTCGTTTGCACCTTAGGTTCGTATTACTCATTGACTGTTAGGTCATAGCACTGTTGTCAAGGCTTTCCTAATGAATACTGTGGATTCATCAACATCATATACAGTGCCCGAATTATAAATCATCAGACACCACTGAAATAGTTTGGGCACTTGTACTCGATAAACGCATAGTTGACAAATGCATAAATTTGTAAACCAGACGATCTTGAAAATAGAAAGGAAAATATTTTCCAATGAATTATCCATATTTTTTTGTTTGTTGTTGAAAAACTTGCGATATCTTGTCACAAAATCTTTCCAGTTCATTACATCAAATATACATTATAATATATGCAGAATTATTCCATTAATTTATTCCCTTTTTTACTTTATATCACATTAGAAAAGAGAAAAAAAACACCATCCAGTTATTGAGGTGAATTTATCAAGCCTTATTGTCCATAAATTTGTTGATTAAGAATTGATTAAAAAAAAATTGGCAACCTATAATTATTGGGAGGACTACTAGTGAATGATAATTACCAAAAAAAAGCATTTCAACTAATCAGTATGAACTAGATTTTGATTGGCTAACATATTTGGGATCAATATTCAATAGTGGTTTTAACCAATCAGATTGTAGTTGACTTAAGTTGAGAATATCGTTTAGAATTTCAGATGTCAAAACGCCTACGCTGTCCAATAATAATTTCTAGTTAGCCTAGTAAATTCGTTTTATTGAAATTTGAGGGAGTTGTAGGGATTTGGAAATATTTCAAGTTGTTATTCATCGTAGACTGACATCATTTGGAGGAACAAAGGAAACCTGGGAGCACTAGACAACTGTCTCGTCCCACTTGTATGGGACTCCTCAGCAGTGCGCACCCACGACCCCTCCAGAGATCGAACCTGCGACCTACAGGTTCCTTGGCCAGCACGCTACCATTGAGCCACTGGGTCAGAATCCAACCATCCATATTTCCAACTTCTGTTAGCTCACGATATAGTGCAACCGCCACTCAATGTGTCATCGTTGAGTAACAGTCCTCACGACCGTCAGACTATGATATCATACACTGATTTGAGCCGTTATTATTCCTCAGTCATTTTTCGCCTTCGTGTTCAATCATATAATAAACATATTGAGGGAAGGGAGCTTTGTTTACTTTCAACTTGTAAGAGATTGATATGTTACTGAGAGATCCTCTGATAAACCTAGAGTATGTAGACAATATATATAAATTGTATTGATTGGTCAAGGGTGTGCAACCAATTTCATGTTGTCTAGTCCTGAGTGCAGACCGAATCCTATCGATCATATTTGCAATGTGGCAACCAAGCTAGGAATCTCAGCATCGTGGTGCACATTAGTAGATGTTAGTTGGTTGGAGGCAATCGATAGGAAGCCTTGCTCGACCTAGGTTTCGTGCATTTTGGCATTCATCAGTAAGGCGTATCTGCAACCTTGACGGAACTGATGTCCCGCCTGAGATTCGAACCCGCGTTACCCTGTTGTAATCGGCTTCCTGCCGATTGCCTCCAACTAACTAGCGTATAACTTGTATAAGGTAACGATAAAGACAAGATATAGTGAATTCAGAATTTCTTCTGTGAAAATCCGAGAATGTTTGATATGCATTTCTCTCCAGTTCAGTGAAAATAATTCTCCAAGTGGGATTTACGCCTGCAGAATTTGTTTATTGAGAATATACAACTGGTATTGGTGAATAATCTCTTGTTTCACATCTCAGTCCACTCTGTTCTTTCCCCTTATATTTCTATCCAGTATGCTTTTTATTCTTTGTACCCTGATCATCACCAGTTCATCGTCATGACTTTTGACTTAGATATATGTATGTATATAACCTACATGCATTCTTATAAATCGCTCTCGCTAGACACTAAGGATAAGGAGTGAAATACTTTGGTTAAACTTCACTGTTTGACTAATTGTGTCAGAGCGGATTATTGGCAGAGTCTCAGCATGGATAAGAAAAAGTTGTATAGTACAGACCAAACTATCCATCCATTCATCCATCTTAATCAACACAGGGACCAGGCATTACTGCGTAACCCTCTGACTAGCCACACCTCATATCACCACATCAAGTAAAAACGCAGTGAAGTGGAAGATGAGGAAGGAAAGAAAATTCAGTCAAAAGAAATATAAAGTACGAAAAGAGAGAAAGGGAGATTGAGAGAACGATGAGATTCAGTATAGTGTCGTTAAGATGAGGATAATGGGTGTGGAGATACATCTCCACATAGCTTCTCACTCATGTCATCATCTACATTCAGTCTCCAACCACTGGTTTGTTTCTCTTCTCCCCCACACCCTAACCACCCAATCTGCCTCATCCTATATGGCTAATACCAACACTCAAACACTTCGTACACTGATGCCATGTTTTAGTCTGGCCGAGAACGAAGAGCCTTTTCCAGCCTGAACTTACTTCGGTCAACATTGTGTGATGAGGCAGACGGCGACTAGGCATACATAACACATGTCGGAACCAACCATCTCAGTCGATGTAGGATCACAACCGTGTCAACTGACTTACCTCTTCTCCCTCCCTAAGACTCTACACTTGAGCCTGACTTCTGAGTTACTCACATGGTGACACCACGGCACAAGGTCTATACTAAGAAGGCAACAGTGGTCAAACACCTGAAGCCAGTCAAGGTTCTGTAGGCATAGATCTCTACGCAAAACCATAGCTAAAATGAGATATTTCAAGCAACAGGAAAATGTAAGACAATGACTTTCACTCTATCAAAATCTATGTGTTTTCCGATGTTGATACCTTTGGTATACACACGATGTTTATCTATTTATGTGTATGATGAGTCCACAACTTTGATACCATTGCTTTTTTATTGAATTAACTGACTTCCGCTTTGAAGTATGTAATCTGATGACTGGTAGTCGTAGAATGAAAGGCACTTGTTTGTTATCATGAACACTATAAACTCAGTGTTATAAAGGTATATTCGGCTGATGAGTACCCGAGGTAGCGAAACTGAATTCGTTATGTTGTAGTCTATTTGGTGCCTATCATTGGAATCCTGTTTGGAACTCGTTGGTTGGATGTACCCCCACTGCAAACAACAAAGCGTCATCCACTGGGCTGCTAGGTTACTGGGTTCGAGTCTGATTGGGAACAACACTTGCCGGGTTTAGAGATAAATTCAGCTGATTAGTTCCAAATAGGCTGAAGCGCACGTCTTGAATTCCATTGCTAGGTAACAAATGGACTAGACTATAATGAATACATAGGCAGTGTTGAGGCATGCGTGTGGAAGCCGCTTATCTGCCGACAGAAGTTGAGCAAATCTACGCCATGTAGTAACTATAAATTACAAATATCAGTAAACAGTAACTGAATTCTACTCTCGAACATTACCAACCAGTGTTGAGATGATGAAGATGAAGAAAGCAATGTAGTGGTATATATAAGAGAAGATACATTTATAACCACTTGAAATAGAGTGTTTGTTTCCTTGAAATCAACCTTCACAATGTTAATCTAATTTTTATCCTTTTTCCGTTTTTAGAATTATACACGAAGGTGGATTTACACAAGAGGATAATAAACAATACAAACCGGTTGTCTATAGTAATACAATTCAATCAATGGTTGCAATACTGAGAGCAATGAATACGCTTGGAATTCAATTTGGTGATAGTGAACAAGGCGTGAGTATATTGTTAAGTTGTTTTTCTGATATGTTTTTGAAAAAAGACCTTTTCCTATTGAGAATTACTATTCAAAAGAAGTTTTCTCTGATTGCATTTCGGATGTACTAACCTCGATTGTGAGCTATATCTAGTGATTGTTCAAGACAGAGTTACATGATTTGACGGAACCCATGAGATGACAACAACTATGGGTGTGTCTGACAGGGAAGGGTGTCCACTGTCACTGTTCCTATTTAACTTTGTAATAAACGTACTAATGGACATAACATTAGACACGTATGACTTCACAAAGATCTACCTACTCCCTGGAGGTTATCTGGTTGACTTGAAATATGCAGACAATATTATTCTACTAGGTGATGAAGACGTTGACGAAATGCAGGATCTTCTGAACTCGTTGAGCAGAAATTTGAGCATGTTTGGCATGCGTTTCGCGCCTGTCAAATGTAAGATGATACTGAGAGGAAACGAGAAGATAGAGACGAAGGGGTTAACGAGCGGTACAGTTGTCGCAATACATACTGTGATACATTCCAGTTAGTTAGTTATGCAATACTGGTGTTCAGTATGAGCGTTTGTAGTTCAACATCTTACAAATGATCTTTCAAATCAAAACAGCACCATGTGTAACTTGTGTGTCAATATAGCTTTGCATCTGTGGAGAGTATTTACAGTCTTTTATGCCCAGATAATATGCCGCATCATCCTGGAGAGATTAAAGGATGCGCTGGATTCAAAATTACGACCGGAACAGGCTGCCTTCAGCAAGAACAAATCATGTGCGGATCAAATTGCAACGTTTCGCTACTCATCATCATAGAATAGAGTATAGAATGGCAGTCAACCCTCTACGTCAACTTCATCGACTTTGAAAAGACCTTCGACAGCGTCGACCGAGAAGTAATTTGGCAGTTGCTTCAACACTACGGACTACTACAAATCTTTATCAACCTCATTCAACAACTATATGAAAACACCACATATCAAGCGATCCACAATGGAAAGACCACCGACGCCTTTGAAGTGAAGACGGGAAGGAGTAAGACAAGGTTGCTGTCTACTATCACCTATGATCTTCCTGATTGTGGTCGACTGGATCATACAGCAAACCATGAGGAGCGAGAAGATGGGTATACGCTGGTTGGACCATTGAAAAGACCCTAGAAGATTTGGATTTCGCCAACGATGATGATTTATGTCTGATGTCTTGTAACACAAACTTGTAGATCTGCAGGCAAGAACTAACAAGTTGACAGAAGAGGCAGGACAGGGCAGCGAAAACGGGACTTCAATTTAATGTAGAGAAGACGAAGGTGATGAAGATACCCAACCAACAACAGCATCAACAACAACCACCAATCATCATCAACGGGAGAAATCGAAACTAAGTTGTCTGTTTCACCTGTCTACCTAGGCAGGATCGTTTCAACTGCAGGTGGCACAGGCACAGATGACGATGTCAAAGGCAGCCAGCATCAGAAACACAACAAGATAGGCTTTTATTAATCTGAAATGATTAGTGTGGAGATTGACTGTACTCAGCATAAAGCGTGAACAACATCCGAGTTTTCAACACTAATTTCAGATCGGTGCTTCTATACGGTTCATAAACTTGACGCGTCACGAAAGGCATTTCGAAAAAATTACGGAAATTCATCAACAGCTGCAGCCTACGCTCATTCGACACTGAAGATGAGATCAGAAGGCCAGAAAGAATAAGCAACAAGGAACTCTAGCTGGGCAACCAGCCAACGAAGAATCTATCACCTAACAAATATGCAGAAGAGTGTGGAAGTGGAGATGGATTGGGGATACACTGAGAAGGCCGATTGGGGACATCACCCGTCAGGCTAGGCTCTCGACTGAAATTCAAAGGGGAAACGATGAGTTGGACGTCTTTGGCGAGAGTGACATGGAGGAAATCATGTGAGGGAGAACGAAATGAAAGCTTATTGGCAGTTGTGGAGCGAGGTTCAAAGGACTGCTGAGAACAGAGTAGAGTGCAGTGGAGATGTGCTACTGAAGCCCTACGTTCCACTAGGAACCCAAGGGAAAAGTAATAATGTCCAGATAAACACTCACTTAGCTATATAGATATATGAGATCCTCAGCTGTTCCCAACTCATCGAACTTTATGAAGTAGCTAACATGATATTTGAATGATATCACGCATATAATCTCATACAATTAGTAAATAGATATCTACTTCCTCTTGATAACAGTTCTGTATGACTATGATACACTTTTTTTTATAAGGTAATCAACTAATTCTGTCTAGCCCCTTATATTATAGCTTTAAACTGTGTGGGACATGTATATGTACACCATTACTCTAACTGTAATATTTATCATAAACAGCCTTCAGTATATTAATGAACTTAGAAATATCCATTTTCAAAATATGATACTTTTCATTGGATTGTGAACAGTTCTGACAGATAAATGGCCTGTGGTGCTTGTGATGATATTCATACTTGTGACAAATGAAGAAGGTGTGGGGGTTCACCACAGTTGAAGATACATAACTCGTGACCTAGTTGTCTTAGTTGATGTAGCACAATACAATTCAAAAAATATATGTGCAAATGACGATTGTGTCGACTGGATATTCACCTTCCTCGAGGTTTTAGAACACAAGTGCCCTTACGGGTACCCTACACTAGCTCTATTTCTTGAAGGTAACTTTTGACTCCGTCGATCGAGATGTCTTATAGTAGTGTCTTTCACTGAAAGAAGCACAGGTTAAGAACATCCTCTTGTGAAGTCTCTGTGTTCAACTACTCATTGTTGTGTCAGGTATCAAGCGAGTTGAGTACATCAACTGGTGTTCATTATCACTGTCCACTTTCTTCTTTCTTATTTGATTTTCTCATAGATTTACTTATAGAGATCTTCCTGTCATCATCTGATTGTGCAACAATTGGTCTTGTCACTGGTGTTTACGCATAGTCCTCTCCTCTTCTTTCTGCCTTGAGGAGAGCTTGTTTATAGGTATCAACAAATGTTTCTGCCTGGCCACTGGATTGCAGATGGTAAGGTGATGTACGAATATGATGGATTACATTCACACTGCAAGACTCTGCAAACTCACGGGAGGTGAATTGTGACCCATTATCTAAAACAATGGTCTCGGGCAATCCATGGCAGATGAAAATACTTTTAAGGGCAGTAATTATTAGGCGTGATGATACAGGCGATACTGCGTCGATCTCCAGCCACTTGAAATAACCATCAACAACAATGAGATTGAAGGTTCCATGTGATGGACCTGCGAAATCGACATGGATTCTAGCCTAGGGTCAGTCTGGCAATGATCAACTCTTTGGTGGAGGACGTAGAGGATTCTTAGCTTCCTTCTGAAGTGATGCACAGCGATCGACGAATCCGACTATGTCTGAATCCATATTGGGCCAATAAGCATAGCTTCTGACGGTGGCTTTCATGTGTTCTATTCCTGGATGACTAACGTGAAACTGTTTTAGGACTTTCTCACGAAGAGACTGGGGGATCACTATGTGTTCTCTGAATATAAAGCAGTTGCCGACGACATAAAGGGATTCTCTTCCGTACAACAGTTGTTTTAGGTCACTGGAAAACGACTTTTGTGGCCATTTCGTCTGGACATAATGCATGACTTTCTATATGATATGGTTCTTCCAGGAATTATTTTTCACTTGAGCCGACCTAACAAGAATCCCACGAACTGCACAATCCTTCGTGGATACTAATGCGGTCACTGTCTTTATTAGGGTTCGTCGGGACGTCTGACAGGTGTTCCACTGTATTGCATACTATATTCAATGGAAGATCGGCGAGAGTCCATAGTAGATCTAGTATACGCATACTCCTAGTAGGTGAAAATGCTGACAAGATGTAGAGTTTTCTGAGCACCTTCAGTGGCGCAGAAAATGTTTGGGATTCATTTCTCGTCACCAAAATGTAAATTTTTGCAATAGGACTAGTTTTTACGGTGCCCTGTTTAAAAGTAGGGAATGAAATGGTTTAGTGCATTGAAGGGTTGAATTAGCCTTGGTGGTTCAGTGATCGATGAAATTTCTGCTTAGATTCATAAGCCTCACTTGACTTTCTCAAACATACGCTATTTCTAAAACTGCTATGATACCTGATTGTCTATTAACGGTTGAGTGTGATCGACAGGCAGACAAAATCAACGTTGAACCTTACACCCAAATGCATCGGCTCAACTTCCCACATTTCATAGAAGTACACAAAAAAAAAAGGTGGATAGATAAGGAGACTGATATCAAAGTAGACAAAATTGTGTGAAATAATAAACTATTTGAAGATAACAATTAGTGCAAATATTCAAGCTTCAGAAGACGTCAGGGAGTGAGTACACCTGTGCCATTGTGACAGGTTTTCAGCCATGACACTATAACAGTCCTCAACCACTGATATTTATCGTCAGGGGGACCTCAACCAGGCAGTCTAGATTTCCCCACACAGCTCATACCAACAGTTAGGGACTTTATGAACTGATGCCAAGTCGTGGTTTGAACACCCTGAATTTTATCCAACTTCCTCCAACATGGTACGTCGAGGTAGGTGGTGGCTGGGTATGCGAACTGCATGTCTAAGCGATATAAGTTGATGAAGGTTCATCACCTTATCAACTGATTCATACTTTTCTTATTCATTACCCTTCGCCTGACCTCAACATCTGCACTATTGAAATCGATTCTGAACTATATCACCTAGGGTCTCCAACCATTAGTTTCTATTGTCGTGTAGACCCCAACCATGCTAGTCCGATATCTGTTTATATGGTTCAGACCAATAATCAAAGAGTTCATGCAGTGAAACGATGTTCTAGTTTGTTCGCCTTCACCTTTTTCCAGCCTGAACCTACTTCAGCTAACATTTTGCGATGAGGCAGACGATGATAGCCGCAACCTGTTGAATAAAGGTTTTCAGAAAAGATATTACTCAATATAATTTTCTTCAGATTTTTTGTCATAATCATATTTTGTCTTTTG